GTTGCCGGCTGGGCTTAAACCACGACATTTACACATGAGCAAATCCTGTATAAAGCAATGGCAAGTGAGACCCAGAATCTTGTTATTGTGGAATGGTCACAAACTAGAGCAATGGACTTAAAAACAATACATATGACAATAAATGGAAAGATAAATAATGCTGCCTTCTATTGATGGCATGGTAATCTGGTCTGGAAAATTAAGTTCTGTTATAATACTCAAGCTTTGACACCTGTGATTTACCCTAATTTCAGGGATGCATCTTCTGCCCTTTCTTTGAAAATCTGGCAAAATTTGTCCAAAACGTTACCTTTTTTCAGAGCTTTTAGAAGCTACAATTCACGTTGGCAAACCAGCAACATGAATACTCTTTCAATGTCCTTTTTTGAGCACAGCATAAACAGTCTTCTGAGTTCTACACGCATATAAATGTATGGCAAGTGTGTGACATCTTTCTACAAGATTCAGAAAACTGCAATGATCCTTTTTCACACACAGTTTCTAAGTGGGGCTGTAGAGTAACTTTACAGTTCCTATTTTAGTTATTCAAACTCCCCTTTCAGGGGAGCTGAAATAGTAACTAGACATACCGCAATAAATATTCCACTTGTCCCGTTGAAGTTGTCAATCCAACCCTGCAAAAAAGAAGAATGATTACTATTTCTTTCAATGACATGTTGCTTACAGAGGCTTTGAAATAGTCAAAAGCCTGTAATGCTGTGGTGTAGGCAAAGAAGCAACCAGACACCAGTTACAATGGATGCCTATCTGGGGCAGCTGCTAGGAAGCTAACCAGTACAAAGTACTTAACTGATTTTAAATAGGGGATGCATTGTACAATACCTCATTCTGTCTGCAATTTACCCATCAACAATAAAATCTAATATTTTTTTTTTTTTAGAAACCACGTATTTCCTATTATAACTTGGCTACAGGAATAAACTCTGGCTTCAAACACTACAGTATTTTGGTGCTGTCATACTTGCTGAAAACAGTCAGTGTGTTATATACCCTCTGACATACAACATACAGATGTCACCAAGACTAATTTAGTTACTCCAGCTAATATCTAAGGCAACTGCCACTTGTGGGAGCTGGAGTTAAAAGCAGTAATGAGCTGTCTGACCTGAAACAGGTTATGACACCTAACAAAAGTTCGCTCTGTCTTTCCAAGATGGGAGGCTTGGCTTAGAGCCTTGGCTGTATCTCAGCCATCTCTGGCAGGCTTGAAGCTGCCTGAAAGCCAAAGGTGACTTTATGTTGCCTTTGCAATTTGGCTGCAATGTTAGGGCACATTATTCTTACCAGTATATTTAGCTTAGTGAATTATTTCAGTCCAAAAGTACTGCTGTATTTAACCACTGTGTGGCTGACGTTTGTATCTGCAACAGGCCCATGCAAATGTGAATCCAGTGAATTCAGTGACTACCAACATAAGACAGAGATACTGCACATGACTATCAACCAAATGCTTTCAAGGACCACGTGAAGTCATGCGCACATCAGGATCTCATTAATAGGCTCACTAGACAATGGAAAGACTTGAAGCAGAATGCATCAGGACTATGAACGACCCTCAGATCTTGTGTTTCCCCAGCTAGTACGGAAACTCCCCTGTGTGACTGTCTGGGCGCAATCCTCTGCCTGTAAGACTGTCAGTTGCAAGTCCAACATTCTGCACCACCATTATCCTAACCTTGTTATTGTTACTATTGCTTAAATGTGTTTTTTTCACTTGGAGACAAGAATTTTTCCTGAAGATGCTGAAGAAAACTTGCTGTTCTACTCCAGCACAGGTCCTCTACCTCTTCCACGTGTTTTTGCTATGAACTAGAGTACCTGTTTCTCAAGCAGACACTGGTACAAGTAGGGCGAGATTCCTGACAGTGCTGCAGCTGCAGCAATGTCAAAAGACTCTCAGCAGGGAATTGCTATGTATTAATGCTTACCGGGAAAGGCTCATGCCAGCTAGCTCCCACGATGGATGGCCTGATGATAGCAATGTTCAAGTTTCCTTTCTCTTGCTGGATCAGGTATTCTGACAAGGCTTTGGTGTAGGTGTAAGTGTTAGGCCAGTCCCCAAGCAGCTTGGGTGTGATATCTTCAATGATAGATTCATCCAACCACCTACGGGAAACAAGGAGATCATCATTACCTGTTGTACAGAGAGAGAAAAGACAGGAATCCTCACCTGAAACAAAGGATAAGCCAGACAAAACCATTTAAGACAAAGCAAGGAGCAACTGGTTTGGATTTAGAACAGCTCTGTGGGAGAAAGGTTATTTCTGCCTTCAAAGTGCAAAATAACCCTAGTGAGCTTCATGCTACGCTGTTGACCTCAACTTCAGGTATCTATACAACCTCATTGTAAGGCAATCTCTTGTGTGCTTTATGCTTCACTACAATCTGTAACATAAACACAGCCATGGTCTATGATTGAGGTTTATCAGCCCAGCAATCTCACCAGGTAGTGCTCATCCTTAGCCAACACAGTCCCTATATACTCTTTGAGTACATTTCAGGAGATTCTTGGTAACCTTGAGTTCCTGAGTTGTGTAGCATTACAAAGATCTCAAAAGCTAGAACAATATACTAGAGGCATATTATTCCAGTAGCACTATTAAGTGTTGAATGTTCCTTCCTACTCATTTTCCAGAGGCTTGTTCACATAGAGAATTAAGAAACTGTCAGTACTAGCTACCTAAAAAAACCCAAACAAAAATATTTTATTTTCTGAAGCAAAAACACCCCACTGAGTATTTTTTTTTAAGGTATTCAAGTATCTAATCCATCAGAAGTAGTTATGCATGCATCTTTTAAAAAGTGGCCCTCACCACTGCGGTGCTGCAGTGATGGCCTAAGGCTCAAAGGCTCTTCCCTGGCACACCTTCAAGACATCACTGGTGCTGCCAGCATTTGGGTCTAAAGGACAGGAACTGGCCGTACTTCCAGAGCCCTTGCACTCCACTGCCAATCCCTGACAGGCTTTCAGCAGTCTGGTGTTACACCATAGAAGCAAAGATTAACTCCTATAATCCAATTTGTAATTAAGTTAATGGACTTAAGAGTTCAGACTGAACTGGTGTACTCTTCCCAGGGGCACCACAAGGATACTGTTCCCTGCAGATCCCTGGTTCACCCCTCCTTATCTTGAATTTCAGAAGCAGCTGGAGGTCAAGGGGAGAGGAATGAGGATGAAACTGGTGCACCTGAAGAAGTTGATCATATCACCTTAAATGTGCAAACACCTGATGGCTCAGTTGGTACACTGCTTTTCAGATGGCTCTCATCAAACACAGATGGAAACATTACAGGAAAACTGTTACATGAGAAAACACTGATTCCTTGAAACTGTACAACAGTTAGCATGGGAGGGTTGAATTCAGTGATCTCATTTTCGGAGCAAGTTCAAAAGAATCTGACAGGTTTTATAGATTTTTTTTTATTTATTTTTATTTTTTTTTTAGTAAAACAAAATAGACCTTATGGAGGCACAAATACTTTCCTTTGCAACCCTAGTCCCATGCTTCAGAAACATGCATGGCAGAAAAAATGTTTAAACATAAAATATGAAGTTGAACTACAGTGAGGCTATAAGCAGCACACAATATTGACTTAATTTACAAAGCCTGCTTAGGCAGCCATTGAACTCAGCCTCCTCAGGGGCTCAGCTAAATTGCTATTGTTTGAATCTGATGAGCAGTTAATTACCAGCCTACCAAAAGGAGATGTCTATTTCTGCAGAGCATGCAGACTAGGTTCATTTGGGAACTCAAATTAAGCTACATACAAGCCTTTTTCCCCTTCCCCTTTCCTTTCCTTCTTTTTTATTTTTACTTACTAACAGTTGCTCACATGTTAGCATTCTCATGAAGCAAAGACAGGTGTAGAAGTACAAAGAGAAGCAACTTCCCCTACTCATCCTTCCAGACAGGCCTCTGCATTACTTTTGGTGGCCATCAAGGGGACCACACTCCTGCCTGTGTCAGGGTACCATCCTCCCAGGTGATTTCATCTACCAGCATTACCATCACAGGAGTGCTGAGCTGACAGTTCAGCGAAGCGAGATGTTCCTCCTTTCCTGTGACCTACTTTGAAGATTTTGAAATGCTAAATCACAAAGCTACCGCTTTTACTCACTGCTGCAATTGCCCCGTAGAAGCAAGAGATTCAAATAAAACTATTAGTAACCTCTTCTTTCACCACGTATATGCACCAAATTACTCCGCCATAGGAAAACATAACTCTCTGTGTTAACGACTTTGCATTAGTAAGACACTCTCTTTCTTGTAAATAATGACGGATCTACATTTTCTGCAATAACAAACCCAGTTCTGCTTCACTGTGTGCTGTGTTCCTTACCTCAGCACACCCTTCAAAGCTGATTTCCCTCAGCTTTAGATTAAGGCAAATCTTGCTTGATGCGGCAGATTGTATGTTTCCTTTATTGGCCTGGCAGCACTTAGAAGTGTGACTTTTGGTTTATACAGATTAAGCCTAAGGCTTTAGTTAAATATCAAAATACTGGAAAGCAGGGATATAATAGGAGGGTAAGAACAGAAAAAGAAACAGCTAGGAGTCCTATTTGGGACTGTATAAACTGAATAAAGAATCATAAGCATATATCAAGTGCATGGCCAAAAGCATGATTAAATGGATCTGTTATTGCACCCATTTGCATGATCACATCTCCTAATGCACTTGCAGAGGAGTACTTTAAGACAAGAATTTGTGAAAAGAACCCTTCACAGCTGGCTGATGCAAAGCACGACCTGTATTTCTGCCCCCTTTTTGAAAAGAGTTTATATTTCCTTGTCTGCTTTATTTCCTCCCCCCCCTTTTTGAAGGTAACATTCTGATACCTGTTCATCTTTGAAACCTTCTGCACCCAGACACCTACATATTCTTCCACTTCCATGGTGAGTAATAAAAGGTGCATCACTCCCATCTCCTTCCAATCCTGCTTTGTCTTCTCTCTCTCTCTCCCTAAGTAATCCTCTGTCCTTCACAGTCTCTCAGAGCTTTCTTTATCGCATTCTGCCTATGTTGTGTTATCCCAACATAGAATCACTGACTGGTTTGGGTTGGAAGGGACCTCAAAGATCATCCTGCCCTGCGGAAGGACTTGAGGGGTGTTGGTTGATGAGAAGCTTAACATGAGCCAGCTTCAGTGTGTTCCTGCAGCCCAGAAAGCCAACTGTATCCTGGGCTGCATCAAAAGAAGCATGACCAGCAGGTCAAAGGAGGTGATCCTGCCCCTCTACTCTGCTCTCATGAGACCTCACCTGGAGTATTGTGTCCAGTTCTGGTGTCCTCAACATAAAAGAGCTGTTGGAGCAAGTCCAGAGGAGGGCCACAAGGATGATAAGAGGACTGGAGCACCTCCCGTATGAAGTCAGGCTGATAAAGTTGGGGCTGTTCAGCCTGGAGAAGAGAAGACTGCGTGGAGACCTCGTAGCAGCCTTCCAGTATCTGAAGAGGGCCTACAAGGGTGCTGGGGAGGGACTCTTCATCAGGGACTGTAGTGGTAGGACAAGGGGTAATGGCTTTAAACTGAAACAGGAGAAGTTTAGGTTAGATATAAGGAAGAAGTTCTTCACAGTGAGGGTGGTGAGGCACTGGAATGGGTTGCCCAAGGAAGTTGTGAATGCTCCAACCCTGGTGGTGTTCAAGGCCAGGCTGGACAGAGCTTTGGGCGACATGGTTTAATGTGTGGTGTCCCTGCTCATGGCAGGGGGGTTGGAACTAGATGATCTTAAGGTCCTTTCCAAACCATTCTGTCATTCTATGATTTCATGATCCAGTTCCAACCCCCTGCCATGGGCAGGAACACCTTCCACTAAACCAGGTTGCTCAAAGCCCCATCTACAATGGGTGCTCAACATCCAACGGGCTTTCTCGCCATCCTGCTCTTTCACACACTCTGCAGCTCCATACATCTCTTTCAAATGTTGCCTTTGATTTGCAGAACACATTCCAAACCAATGACCCTGGAGACAAGGGTCAATTTTCAACAAGGCCCACCTGATTTCAGTGCCCTTGAAAGCAGTGGTTGATCTTTGCTGTGAGCAATTATAATGCTATCTGCAAACACTGTAAAGAAACAGATGCCATCCTAGCTGAGGGCATGCTGTGATTTCTCTCTCACTAAAGTACCAGAAGATGGTATATTCTGGAGTATGTGACATAGAAAAAACAGAAAAAAACCCAATTAAAAATGCAGTAAAAGAGCAAGAACCCCCATTTCTAATTATGTGGCTAACCAAAAAAAACACCCTAAGCACCAAGATAAACACATCAAAGTATACTCTAACAGCCCATCCTCTGTCACTCAACCTTTCTTTCAAACATCATCCTCTCTGCTGCACATGCAAACTACGATATATCCTTAGTGTCTTACATGAAGCACCTGAAGTAGCAACCTGTGGGGTAGCCAAGTACTTCAACACATTGCTGAATAGCATTCAGACTGTTGCTGGAGTCTTATGTCCAAAGTTGCAAGTAATATTCTGGGAGCAGTGAAATGTACTATTGATAGTGATAAGCTCCAAAGGACATTGTAAAACTGAGTCAGTGGGCAAAAAGGAGGCAGATTAGCTTCACTATAAGTAAAAGTAAGGTAATGCATTTAAGGAAAAGGAGTCTAACCTGGTCTTAGAGGTTGCTGAACTCAGAACTGACAGCTGCAGCCCAGTGAGAGCTAGCTGACAGCTCTATGAAATCTCCAAATCAATGAGTAGCAGCAGACAAAAAAGTCAGTGACATGTTGGACATCATCAGGTACGAGAACAAGACCAACGGTGTCATTTTGAAGCTGTTTAAATAAAACTTTCAGTTACCACACCTTGAGTACTGCATGCAGTTCTGTCTGGCCCCTGCATCTCAGGCAATGAGTGGAGTTAAAAAAGAGGCAGAGAGGAAGGGCAATTAAAATCATCAAGAAGACAGATCTGTTGGCACATGAGGAGATAGTAAAAAGCCTGAGAATCTGCAGCCTCCAGAAAAGAAGGTCCAGGGTGAATGTAATACAGATTTACAGAACTGCAGAGGCAGTAAATAGGGCAAATGCTGCAGACACTGCAATGCTACAATTATGGGACATGCAATGTAACTACCAGCATGACAATTTGCAACAGGTAAAGAAAGCTTGTCCTTACACAGCAGTTGGTTAGTAAACTGGAACCTGCTGCCACACAGGGTTGCAGAGGCAAAGTACGAGAAAGTTTAAAAAGGGATTAAACAAATTAGTGGATCCAAAAACAGGTCAGAAAAGAACAGGACATAACACCGCTCATACAACAGTTCTGGTTTCTGGGAGGCTGCAAGGGGAACAGGCTGCAAAAGTACCTAGGCTGGTATAGTTACCCTAACCAGCATCTCCCAGCACCACTGTGCAGAGCAAGATACTGTGCCAGGCAGTCCATTGCTGTAATGCACTAGGGCATTTCTTCTGTTTTTATCATGCTCCACTTGCAGAATAGATGATAAATGATAGATGACTACTAGCTGGAAGTAAACATACCAAAGAATACGGGCTACTGGAGAAGTTCAAATAGAAAACACTGATTTATACTAAATTTTCTGGAGTAGCAATTAAACAATGAAATTATTTCTTTAGAAAAACATATTCTTGAAATCAAATCCCAGTGCTTCTCCAACTGGACATTAATTAATCTCATCTCCTATTACTGTAAATCAAGGAGAAGAAAGATTTTATACCAGCTCTTTAGGTTATAGTTCATGGGTCAGTTGCTTGTATCACATAAGTAGCATATCATTAGAAAATAAATGAAAACAAAACTACAGCTGTGGGAAAATTCTTCTAAAGGGAAGGTTTCCTGAGGCCTTTATCAGTAGATTTTGTTATTCTTTGTAATTATTCTTCACTTCAGTAAATTCAGTTAAACAAACTTTTTTGTTGTTCCCTCAAAGTCCTGGATTCTCTAAAACAAACCTTTTCTGACTTATCCCCATATAAGTCCAGTTTAACACCACAGGCTTGTTGAAATAGATGGAAACACGTTGGGAACCTGAAGAGATAAAGGAATGAATATACGGTATATGAAAAATATCAGCTCTTAACTAAGGTAGCAACAGAGGTAAGGTAGCCTTACAGAAAGCAGCAACACAACTCCATTCCTTGTTAGCAAATACACTTGTACAGCAGTAACAGCAACTATGAACAGAAATCCCACCAGTCTGGGTGGTGTGAACAATTCGGAGGTCTTCTGCAGAATGGAGCAAAACCAATGTCAGAAGAGGCAATGCAGTTCCTACTTACTCTACTAAATCAAAGAGCCTCTTGGGTTCAGCTGGGGGTGGGTAGATGATTTCATCTATGCATTTCCGGACACAGTTTGCATAGGCAGTGGAGATGTGGATGAAGGCCTCGAGGTTCTGCATCTGCCGGGCCAGCTCTAGAAGCCGCTGGGTGCCCAATACATTCAGTTGCAGGGCACGTCTAAAGAGGGTTGGGGCAAGAAACAAAATACGTTACACTGGACAGAACATAGGAAAGTTGAGCATTATCCAAATCCCAAATAATGAAAAAGGAAGTAAGGGAAGAAAAGGCATCACAGCAGAGCAGAAAGCTTCAATGAAATGCAAGGGCTAAACCAACTTCCAGTTGGATTCACTGTTCTGGCCACAGAAAGTCTCTCAAATATTTTTATTAAATTCAAATGATCCGAGGTAAAATTCCTATAACGTTGTTAAATCTGACATATTTGCCACCCCTTTCTGGAACAAATATTTCCAAAACAGACGAACACAGAGGCATTAAGGTTCCTATGGCACCCAGTCAACTTTCTCTTTAAGGGACCACTGCTAAACCACATGAATACATGGTTTCAGCAAGCAGCAAAGGGTCCTTTGGTCCAGGAAAACAGGTTCATACTGAAAGAAACTAAATTAGAGATAATAGCTGAAATTCCTAAGGAATGGAGAAGACAGCTGATTAACACAAGAAAAAAGAGTCCTGGTTAGCAAGGTTGACCTTGAATCACTGAGCATAGCTAGAAGTCGTCCTGGACCTATCTGCAATGGATCTCAGTGAACAGATGTTCAACTTTGTTGCACGCCTTGTACTGGAAGGAAGACACTTTCCTGCACAGAAGGGAAAAGGCTAAAGAATATGCAATCCGTTCAGCACAGGAGTAGAAGCTTTGAACAACGCATACAAGATTATGAATAATGCTATTGAGTACAGCGTACACTAAAGAACTTAATTATACTAACGTTGAAGGGAAATTGTAAATAGTCCTGATGAATGAAAACAGAAGCTAAGAGTATGATTAACATTTGCATCACAATATCTAAATCCAGAGATACTCTTTCTTTTTTTTTTTTTTTTAGTATGACGCTACTGAAGAATAGTTTTCTATAGATTTCTATTTCCTCCTGCTCTTCTAACAGGATGAATCCTTCTACTTTAGCTACATGTCATATGAAAGCTACTCCTGTGTACATTTCTATTCATTCATATTCCCTATGAGAGGGGAAGAACAGAATTGCACTCAGAATACATGCCCAGCACAGATTTCTGCTGATATGTTCAGAGTTCCTTTAGCCTTCCAGGGGAATTTCATCTAACCCTAGTGATCTGTTACTCTTGATTTTTTCTATTTATATTAAAACTGCATCTACTGATATTTCAGTATAACATAGTGTCTCAGATTTCTGCACTCAAGAGTTCCGTCTGGAGAATTCCCTAAATGTACTGAATGTAGATGCCAATAATTCATTAGTTTCTCTGTTGCTGCCTTTCTAGTATCTTGATAGCACTGCTTTAGCACCCTTATCTATCGGCTCTACATATTCTGTGGTAGGCTTTGGACTTCTGCCCTGTTTAAAAAATATTTTTATTTTTTTGTGTTGCTAGCAAGTTGCTGCTCAAGATTCTTATTTGAGCAGCATTATTGTACTTTCACATTTAACTTGCTAGAGCTTTTACCCATGTGATAGATTTTATTATTCAGATAGGAATAATTTGATTTTAACAACTTCTTGTATTTTGCCATTTAATCAGATTGGTTTTCCTTGTTCTGTTAGAGATATTTTGACAAGCAATCAGACTTTAAATCGTTTCTACACTGCCTGCAAGCAGATGACCATTTTAACTTTTTAACTGCTTTCTAGCTATCCTCCTTATTAAAAACGTAGTTTCCCTTTGATGCCACTGAGACATATTTTTCATAGCATTTTCATTCATCTCTTGATTTAAGACATTTATAGCTATTAATGCAGCATAGTGCTCTGCTACTTTTATCTTCAGCCAGGTTCTACGCATGGCTCAAGATTAAATCAAGAGCTGCTTCCTTTCTAGTGGGTTCTCTAGTTGTTGCAAAAAGCAATTATTTATGGTGGATATGGTGGATATCTATTTAGCCTATGTATGAGGAAATGAAAAACTGATATTAGTGATTGTGTTTTCTACTTTTACAGTGTTTTCCAAAAAACTGTTAAGATCTGACAATCCAGATCATGCACCTTGGTTTGTTAACTTTTACAATTTGCATAGAGGCACTCACACATCTAATCTTGGTTTAGTGGCTTATTTCTGCTCTTTCTTAATGGAAAGCCTGCCTGGACAGGCACTCCCAAGGCAGCTCCTTAAGAAAGTGAGCATTTATTGTAAACAGTTAATTACACTGAGTGTTGGGTATTTTAAAACTTGGGATATGCTATTTTCTTAAACAACATCTTATTTCCCTCTCAGTTTCTCAGTGACAAAGAAAGGCCATTAACACTAGCTTTAGAGACAGACACAACATAGTTTCACTTCAAGCTGTCTACAGCTAGTTCTGCCAAAATATCTCCCTCTTGACCTAAACCACACTTTTCCATATCCCAATTTTAGGTCATACTTAACTCCCTTACTATATTACAACCCAAGCTTGCAGTACTTCCTTCTGTTCCCACGGAAATCTGCCAAGATACTTCACTTTTGACGTGCATATGCACACGGTATTTCCAGAGCATTTACATTGCACATTCAGTGCAGAACCACATGTAGCATGGAAACATAAGTGGAGAGCTACCACCACAGCTATACAAGAGATGCACTGAATGGTGTATTATAAGCTATCATGCATTCTGAATCGTGCTCAGTGAATACAGAAAGAAGAAAGCAGGACATACTTCAGGGGTTCGTCAAAGCGAACTGTTGCTGCACAGTGGAAGACAATATTGACCCGCGTCAGAAGCTCCTCTTCATCTTCAGCACTGATGGCGAGCTTGGGCTGAGTGAGTTCAGCATTAATAGGCTTAATCTTCTCATGGAAATTAGGGCAATCTTCTCGGACCCTGTCGAAGACCTTGAAGCACAAACAGAGAGAGATCAGGTACAGATTTGGGCTACTGAGATCACTTTGATTAGCAGACAGTCTGATTATGTCAGTCAAATGAAATTGGCACAAAAGAGAGTTCCTGGTTCTTGCAGAGGGAGGACACAGGTGAGATGACAAAATAGTTAATTTATTTGTTCCCTCTTACAGGAAAACATCACAGGAGAAACAGAACAAAAATACAGGAGGTAATGCATTGCCCTGAAGAGATGAATGATTCTACTCTGCACCACTCATTTCCTGGGACAGCCACTGAAAATCGTGTATTTCCACATCTCCTGCAACCATTTGCTCTTTGACCTCAAAGGCTGCCCATAGGACTGTACAGGAGCTAAAGAGGAGGGTAGAGTATGGTGTGGAAAAGCCTTTGAATCATTAGACTGAAGCAATTTTCTTGATGGTTTTACAAAGGACTTCAGCAGAGGAGAGGAACAGGACACATTCTGGCTCCTCCTCTTCCTTTGCTACTCCTTGACTACTGTCACTCTTTGTCCATGTCAGATGAGTCCTGCAGGAAACTGCCTTTAGTATGGAAAGATGGGGAATCTCAATAACCCATACTGCTAAAGCTGTTGACTGCCATCAGCAATTTTGCAGGACTGGACTGTGCCTCTAGCTGGCCTCTCAAGCTGTCTTCCAGTCCTTTTTTTCTATGAGTATGATCCACAGATCTTCCCAATACACATTTTCTGCTCAGCCTTCTGCAGAATGAGAAGACTCTGCATCTGTCCACTAAAAAGTTCCCTACATTTCCATATACTATTCTGTTTGATGAATTGTCCAACCGAGCATTTGGCACCTTGCTTTGCCTAAGATCTGAGATAACAGGTACCCTGAACAGTGAGACAACTATGCGCAAAACTTCTGAAAGGAAGAGAAAATCAATACTGTCATCACCTGTCAGTGCCTATATGAAAACAGCAGTTTCCTCAGTTCCTATTTTTACTCTGAGTAGCTCAGTCACTGATAACAGTATAGCAGGTCTGGGTGCAGTTCTGCTTGCACTGCAAAAGCAGATGCCTACTGCAGGTTCCACCTGGAGACCTTTCAGTTGGTCAATCTCACAAGCAAAGATGAAGTCTGAATTTCAAAACATGAGCTTGCTGGAGTAGACTCTGAAAAAATCATCTTAAGTTTTAGAAGCACCTGTTCTAAGGGGTTTGTATTGTTGGTCAACATTATTACATTAAAGCTCCTTTCTTTTGGGGGCAAAGTGACAAGAAGAAGGGTAGAAACAATGGATAGAATAGAGAGGCTGTGGGATCTGAAGAGGTATAATACAGAATTCAAAGAATAACCACACTTCAAAGGTAACTAGCCTACTGACAGGAACAAATAAGTACTGGGAGAGGTTGCTGGTAGATGCTGCGCACCACTACCTTTGCATGCATTTAAGAACTACCTAGCATTGCCAGGAAAGGCAGGAAATAGCTGAACCTGCCTTGGGGCAGGAGGATGTGCCAGCTGGCTTCTCGGTAGCTCTGTGTTTTCTGGGTGATTACTCTGTAGCTTGCTAACCAGTAACACCAAGTTTGTAAATCTCTTTACTATCACAACCTTTTGTTTTCCTAGAGGTTGTTCTGTGTTTGATTTACCCAGTGCTTATGTAAGAACGGAAATGGTGTGACATGAATTAAACATACTAAAAGAAAAAGACATATGAAAGACTAAACTGATACTAATAGCAATATTTTCTTGTTTGATGAAGGGATTGCCATCTTTCTGCTTATCTGACAACCAAATTTAGAGAAACCTCAATATTCTTACAGATAAAGAATTGAGAAGAAAATCATTAGCCTTCCGCACTATGCAGCACACTCTGTTCTTGACTTCATATATTTTTCTTTAACACACAGCTGCACATCCTTCATAAACCTGAAACTTGAGCAAGTCAACAGAAGTCAGGACAGGATAATATTTCATTTCTCTCAGCTGCACCCAGCTACATGCATATTTCAGCAATGTCTAGGCCAGAGAATAGATTTCTAGACAGCGAAAGCTTATAATGGACAAAGATGTTGGTGAGAGCCAGCTGGACTATACAAACTCAGTTCCCAACAACTTATGTTCAGAACCAGGTACTAGCAGCATTAACAGCTGTAAAAATCTTGTCTTCTAACAAGAGTGTGTTAGATTTGCTGTCCAAATATGCATCATCTCACGAGAGATCACAAACAAGCAAACCTTGATGAGACAGAAAATCAAAAGGTTTCTCAGACAACCCATGTAAGACCACAGCTATCTTGTTAGAGTTTTAGGAACAATTCTGCATTTGCTTGTTTGATTGCAAAAAGAATGTAAAACTCCACCCAATGAGAGTTACTTTATACAGGGTTTACTTTGGCATAAATAATGCAAAAGCAGAGAAAGAATGAATCAGCCCTTTCTCCACTGCAGACATGGCATATAAAAAGAGTAGTAGTATTTCTGGTGTGCCAGCCTTGATCAAATTTGGACAGTTATATTCTGCCTACATGCCATCTTCTCATGACATTCTCGTTGCAGATAATATCTCCTTCAGTTTCTGTGCCTACTGCTAGGTATTTCCTACTGCCACATACCACCTCACAGCTGCAGTTTTTCACCCCCTCTGATGATTCACTGCACTTCTCTGAAGGCAATTTCTAAATGCAAGCTCACAAATCAGCATACTGCTTTGGAAACCTTCTGGATCACAAGAACATTCAGTTCATTGTCACCATTAAATCAGATATCAGGAGCAGCTGTTTAATCAAAGTCTGCTGCCTCTTTTATGGAATTTGAAGATTCCAGATTTCTCAGTGCTTTACAGAGAAGTGCAAGAAGATTTAAAGACAAAGCAAATGCAGCTTATTCCATGCTGCTTCCTATAGCTCAAGGAGAGCTTAACATGAAGATGCTGCTTAGTCTGCAGGTAAACAGTAATTTTGATTCTGCTTTGAATTCTGATTAACTCACCCTGAGCATATACAATAAATCCCCAATAACTGCATGAGGCCTAAGGATTGTTCAGTCTTTTCTTTTTAGAAGCTATCTGCCAATACAAAATATATTCAACGGACAGAAGTGAGCTGGTGTGCTGTGCTGTTGGAACTGCATAAAAACACCGGCCAAGTCAGCAATACTCCAGAAGTGATACATGAATTGCCACAGAATTATAGTTAAGAGAGATGTTTGATTTCAAGTCATCCTGTATTAAATTGAGGGAAGTCAATAATAAAATATCCTGATTTCAGTGTCTTTTTGAGCATCCAAATGCATTCCAGGGGCAACACTGCTGCCTTGACCAAAACACAATAAATGAACCTAATAGCTGCTATTGTCACTTTAAACCTCAAAATATGATGCATGTTTTGCATAGATTGTGTTGCCCCTCAATAGAGGTGAGAATGTCACTCTAAAATTTGCTGATTTTTTCTTATTTTATAAGGAGGCAATTCCCATTTATAGTAATAATCTAATCTCTACAAGTTCAATGTACATTGTCAAGCGCTTACTATGAAAACAGGATGTCTAGAATTACTCCAGCATTATATTAAGTATGTTTGATAGGCATCTC